GAAACAGTATTTTCACCTCCAAAATTATGTTTAAGCATCAACCTGACTGATTTAGTACAGTGATCCAGAATGTATGACGTAGACTCCAATTTTAGCCTGCTCTTAACACAGTGGCAAACCAACTCAAAAAGCTTTGACCACAGGCAACAAAGATCAAGGAATACGTCAAAGCAATATAGAGGGGAAACAGACGCTGATGCAGTCCGTCAAGACACAAATAAAGCTAGCATAATTATTCACTCGAGCCTGTCTTTAGGGATCAACAACCAATATTCCACCAATTTCCATCCTCGGACAAAACAAGGGCCAACATCGAGTTCTAATAATTGCTTCTTGAAAAGAGTGCAATAATAAGAATCATGAGTAATTTCATGAACCTAAAATGTTTTCAAGTGTTTCTTTGTTTATTTGAGATTTGACCACTAGACAAATTTTAAAAGGAGAATTAAACATTTAAATAAATAAGACAACTGCAATGGAATGAACACTAAATTCATGGCGTTGCAACGTTCCAACATCAGAAGTCAGTAACTTGAAAAAATGCATTTAGTCGTATTTGTACAATATTAATGGACGTATAATTTGGCTTGCAGGGCCATTAGCACGTGCATTGGTTCTTGATGAACGTGGTACACACGCCTTGCTCCTTATATTATGCCCCCTTTTATTTTTTTCCCTTTTTATATATTGTTTGACATTCTTGCTATATAAAGGTAGAATAATCGCTACAATTGGATTATAGGCAACGTGAGAAGGAGGGGTTCAGAGGTTGTCCAAGAAAGTGCTTCCTGAGAACATAATGAAGATGGTTAGAGCAGCCATTAAGCTGTTCTTAGTGCCGGTATTTCTTGCCTATATGGTGCTGTGGATCATGATGCCCACGAATTTATATTTTGAGCATTGGATGCCAGAAATCCGTGCAAAAACGCAGTCAACATACTTTGGAGACCAAGGTATCGAAGAGCAGTTCAGTTTTTTAGAGTCTTCTGAAGTTCGTTTTGTTCTTTTTGAATTTTTTTTTTCTAACTCAGCTTGGATATAGGTGCATCTATGCTGATTTACACATTTCCCATCCTCTTCATTGCTACAATGGGCTGTATTTACCTTCATTTGGGAAAGAAAGATACTGATCTCAACCGCCATAGGTACATCTTCACGTATCAGTTTCTTTTTCAATAGTGTTTTGTGTCATATACTTGAGTAGTTAACTGCTGGCTGCTGATTTCTTGGGAGCAGATTAGTTCAAACATCGAGGTTTGCCACTTTGAAGCAACCAGTGATCGTGAGAGGTCCTCTCGGTATTGTTTCTTGGATGGAGCTCTCATTTCTAACCATGTTTGTTGCGCTGTTAGTTTGGTCAACCTCTTCCTACTTGACTCATATGTTCGTGCATATCGACCAAATGGCTGCAAAGGGTGGACTGCTTGTGTAAGAATCTTATTCCACTGAATTCGAGCAGTGTCAGTGCCTTTTACCTGGCTAAGATAATAAAATTGGTTCCAATTTGGGGAATAATTTGATGACGGTTTCGGTTTTCCTGGCAGGTGGGAGGCTAAGTTGGAAATGTCAGGTCTAGCACTTGGTCTAGTAGGCAACATTTGCGTAGCTTTTCTCTTCTTCCCGGTGACTAGAGGATCATCAGTTTTGCGGCTTATTGGCCTTACCTCAGAGGCAAGTGTCAAGTATCATATTTGGATGGGGCATATAGCTATGACCATTTTCACAGCCCACGGCTTAAGTTTCATTTTCTTCTGGGCCAAGACAAGGCAGATGTCAGAGGTAAATAACAACATTCTTGTTTACTTTCGTAAGTGATGAAATAATCATTTCTATATGAAGATGTAAATAATGTCAAAACCCTCTCTGCATAAGAGCCGTCCAGCAAATTACAGGCACCATCAGCGAGTCCTGGTTCGAGGATCATAGACCTTGAATATCAGAACAACAACCAAATGTGGAGGCTTAATAGCCATTGAAGCATTTTGAGGGGGCTTTAACATGCTCTACTTGATCAAATTTTAACATCTTCTAGATTTAAACTAATTACAGATCGTCTACATTGAGCCCAAAGAGTTGGACTCTAGGAATCCACGCATCAGCTACACATTTTCCACTAAATAGTTTGAAAAGAATAAATGATCTCTCAATTCTTGTTCTTTTATTTCCTGAAGTTGCAAAGTGGATAATTGTGCTTGCCTGCAGGTGCTTAAATGGGATAAGGTTGATGTTTCAAATGTGGCTGGAGAAATAGCATTGCTCTCTGGATTAGCCATGTGGGCAACAAGCCTCCCACAAATAAGGCGAAAAATGTTTGAGCTCTTCTATTACATTCATCATCTCTACATTGTCTTTGTTGTCTTCTTCGTCTTTCATGTGGGGTTCTCCTACTCTTGCATCATGCTTCCTGGTTTCTACCTCTTCCTCATAGATCGATATCTAAGATTCTTACAATCCCAACAAAGGATTAGCTTGGTTTCAGCACGTATATTACCTTGTGAAACTGTTGAGTTGAACTTCTCCAAGAGCCCAGGTAAGTTAAACTTTTTACTCACACGTGACTCTCTGCGGGTTGCCTAAAATAGTTATTTTTCCAGTTTCAGAGAAATAGCTGTACTGGCATCATAGATGGGACCTTTGAGTTTCAACTCTTTTCGTTACTTGAAAAGAAAAACAAAGGAGAAAAACCTTCGGATGATTGACTCTCTGTTTGTTTATTCTGGTATCAGAATTGAGTTACACTCCTACAAGCATGGTTTTTGTAAATGTGCGTGGCATTTCCAAGCTGCAGTGGCATCCTTTTACAATTACCTCCAGTAGCAATATGAATCCCGACAACCTGAGCATTGTCATCAAAAGTGAAGGAAGTTGGTCTTCTGAGTTGTACCAGAAGCTGTCATCCCCTTCACCTATAGATCACCTTGAGGTCTCCATTGAAGGACCTTATGGGCCTGCTTCAACTCCTTTTCTAAGGTACTTACCAAAACAAAATGAGCTCTTCCCCTGTTTTTGCAACGATAAATTTGATGAAGCCTTTTGTGCCCACTTCTTACCAAGCAAACAATAACATGTTTCTACATGCGCTGCAGGCATGACACACTCGTGATGCTGAGTGGAGGTAGCGGCATTACTCCTTTGATCTCAATTATCCGAGAGCTCCTCTTTAAGGCCAGTAGCAGTAGTGACAGGATTCCGCAGACTTTCCTCATATGCGCATTCAAGAAATCTGTAGATCTCACCATGTTAGAATTGCTACTCCCAGTTTCAGGCGCCACGGTTGATGTTTCCTGCTTAAAGTTACAGATTGAAGCTTATGTAACAAGAGATAAAGAGCCAGCTACAGATAACCGCAGGCTCCCTCAAAATGTATGGTTCAAGCCTAACGCATTAGATGCACCAGTTTCTGCAATTTTAGGCCCAAATAGCTGGCTCTGGCTTGGAGTGATAATATCATCTTCGTTTGTCATCTTTCTTCTTCTCCTTGGCATTTTAACACGATACTATATATACCCAATTGACCATAATACTGGTATGATATACGCTAGCTCAGCAAGAGCTGCTTTACACATGTTATTCATATGCACCGCCATAGCAATGACAGCAACTGCTGTTTTTCTCTGGAGCAAGAAACAAACCGGCAAGGGGACGAGACAGATCCAAGGCATGGATACTCCGCCAAAGACATCCCCAGCATGGTTTCACAATGCAGACAGAGAACTAGAAAGCTTTCCGCACCAGTCTTTACTCCAAGCCACCAAGGTCCATTACGGTGAAAGACCTGACTTAAAAAGTAGGTTAACTTTCTTTACGGTTCTCTCTATAATGTTACAAGGAAACTTGACCCTCATACAGCAACATGTAAGGGTCTGAATATGGCATCCTATACATATTTGGCATATTCTAAATTGCTTGACACCTTATGTTCTGTTTGTGGCAGAGATATTGTTTCGACGCAAGGGAACCAGCGTTGGTGTTATTGTGAGCGGACCGCGAGAAATGCGACAAGAAGTGGCTGCAATCTGTTCTTCTGGTTTGGCAGATTACTTGCATTTTGAGTCGATTAGCTTCGCCTGGTGACCAAAAGGCAGAACCGTCCCTACTTTTATCTTTATGCGCCTTTTCGGGCCATTAAATCCAACTGTCCACGAGGTAAATCATACATTTCTGTTTATATCTGTAACATCATAAGGATTTCGATTCAGTGTCGATGTAAATTTGATGGGTTGCAATTTTTACCATTTCTAACATTAACCCTCCACGATGAACTTAACAGTATTTAAAACCTACAATACAAATAAGCCCTAATTGACAAGAACAGCAAAACATAAACTGACAGTTGGGTTTAATGGCCAGAGTCATCTCTTCTCTGTGTAAAACGTTTCTGCATGATTACCTTATGGTATGGAGGAGCTATGCAGATTTCAGATGAGGATTTAATTAAAATTTAGTTCCATTTTACGAGCTACTAACAAAGCAATGAACGGGTAAAGTATTGATGCGACTAGGTTTGTAAGATGAACTATTTTATAAAAGTGTGATCCTGACACAGTTACTTTTCAAGTTAAGCAATCAGCATAGATGAGCTCTAAAACGATTACCTATTTTTGACAGCCATGACAGAGAAAAGATGAAATGACAAAAGCCTTTAAAATTAAATTGAAGCATTGCACCCCAAAGAAAAAAAAAGGAAACCTTAATTTCTACTTAAACCATTATACCTTAATTGCCTCGCATATAGAGATGGGGACAACCTTCTAGGCAAGAAGAAAATGACCATTAAAAGGAGTAAAGAGGAAACTGTAGAAAATGAACACCAAACCTAAGAGGACAAAAAATTTTCTTTGCTAAGGGAGGCTACCAACCAAAAAATCAGACAGAACTAGGATGCATCCTGCCCAATAAATGGAAATGATAAAAGCAGAAAAAAAAAACATCTCCCATCCACCGGCATATACAGCCAGACTAGGTAAAGGAGAAAGAGATATACCTCTTCCAAGTTACACATCTCCCTTTCCAACCACATCCTCTCACGGTTGTTGCATCTTAAATGACCTATCTTCACTAGCTGTCCTAGGTGCATCATCAGGCCTCCTAGATGAGACCCCAAGTGCATTAGTCACAGTTAAAGAGTTATTAGCCACATATGAATCTTCTGCATTATACCGAAACCGCCGGACTGCACCATCTGTATCATACCGCCTCACTCGATGAATCATCTCATATCTGCTGCCATGTTTATCATCATCACTGCCTTCATATTTACATCCTTTACCAGCACCAACCATATCAGGAAATCTTCTGGGGCGAATCATGTGTCTGAAGTAATCATCTGAATTCAATCTCCGAATTGGGCGCACTTGATCAAACCTTTGGCCCTGCCGAAACATCCTCACAGGTGATTTCCGGCCCCTAAAATGGTCTAAACCAGTATTTCGATCGTCAAACATCCTGGAATTTCGCTGTGGTGAAATGCGACTTCTTGGTGGGGAAATAAACTCCTCTCCATAATCTGCTGCAAAACGCTTTGTAAATGGCAACCTCACCCTATCTACTCTAGCATCAGACCTAAAATCTGGTGACCTGCTGCGACGTCTTGAACCCTCATTTCGATCCCTCGGCAATAACCAACCAATTGGAGAGCGGCTCCTTGATCTTGACCGAGTTTTCTTGTAAGGTAAAGTGTAATGAGGTCTACCATGGGGGGAAATGCTTCTTTCTCTCCTGCCTAGACGATGTGGCATGCGACTAAAATATTCTGTGCCATCATCAGGAATATGCCTGAGATATTCATCTCTGATGCCTCTACTAACCCCCTGTTGATATCTTCTAAACCTAGTCCGATCAGGACTAGCATCTCTTACAGTTGCCATTCTTGTATGCATACCATAGGAATCATCTCTTTCAACTGGTGATCTCCTTCTAACGAAAGGTCTATACAAACCATTGGAGGAGCCTATAAATTGCCTGCTAATGCGGTTGTCAGGTCTTGCAACACCAGTAGCTTCTGAAGATGCTTGGTCCGTGGCCATTGGATATCCACGGCTCTCCACAACACTTTTTGGTCTGGGGCGCCCAAAATTGTAAGGATTATGATAAATAGGTGAATTCTGCCGTTTAGAATCCCAATAACTAGCTGAAGGATTAAAAAAGTGACCACCTCCTGGGCTTCTGCCACGCATATGTGAAGCAGATCTATCCCTCCCCACGAATTTATCAGAACCAGCCTCCCTCTCAGCTCGAGGAAACGAACCATCAAAATTGTCAGACCTGTGATATTAGAATAATCAGCAATTACACAAAAAGCTAGAAATGCACATCATAGGTAATAGACAATGGATCAAAACAGTTCACCTGCTTCTATGAACAGCATCAGAGGATAATGATCCTTCAACACGGGAAAGCAACTCCCTTTTCGTTACCTTAGATAAATCTACCTTCAAATCATAATCTCTGACATTAGACCCATCCAGGCAATCGGTTTTCTTTGTTTCACCATCAGACACTTCCACAGTTCTCATCTTTAAGCCCGCTGAATTTTCCCTCAAAGCATCTCCAGTTTCACAATATTTAAAATTTCCAGTTACATCAGGACTTGACCCTCTTTCTGCCTCTAATTTCTTCTCACCACTCTCAGCTTCCAAGCCAAATGATCTTTCTTCCTCAAATTCAGTGTCATAGTCCACCTGTTCAGCTTCCTCCCAACAGTGAACATCTGTTTCCCTCAACTCCCCATCCTCAAACTGTGAATCATAACCAGCCTGAACTTCTGAGTGGGTTCCCATGCCAACTGTCAATACCATATCTTGAGAAACAGCAGAGTCATGGCTTTCATTCGCAAGATCATTCAGGTTGGCCTTATCCAAGTAGCTTGTAGGACCATTAACATAATTTCTACATGCCTCCTGAGCAGAAAACTCACCAGCTCCTGTAGTAGCAACAAAATTTCTGGAAGACTTTTGCAACAATGCCTCCGACCCAACATGAGTATCAGAATCAGTTTGAGCAGTATACGTTGAAGAAGCTCCATCAGTTCGTTCCATAGCCTCCACAACATCATCATCCGATATGGACATATCTTCAGACTTTGGTGAAGGATGGCATATGTCCATCTCCTCTGTCCCATTTGCATGCTCATCTTCAGGGGTTTCTAGAGGTCGAGGATTATCCAGGTCCTGAGCAAAAATTTTCACATCTTGCAAGCCAGAATCTATTCCATGATCCTTATCATCTTCATTAACACTGGTTTTCTGAATGTCATTAGCAACCGTCTCTAAAACTGGTACGTAGGGAGAAGCAACATCAGACTCCTCTACCTGAGCATTTTCTACACAAACAGTTTTGCCCACCTCTGCCTCAGAAATACACCCTACTGTGTTCAGCCCAATATTATGAGTTGAAAATGATGTTTCTTGGTTTCCCTCAGACCCAGATGTGCTCTTATCCAATCCAGGAAGAGGAGAATGACTGAGGCATTGATCCATGTTTACTGCCTCAGTGGAGGCATTTGTCTCAGCAGCAGCACAGATCAAGGAATTCTCAGCATCAACCACCGGCACCGGAACATGTTCAGTTTTGTTCTCACTGGAGCCAAAGCATCCTTCAGATTCCTGTTTCTCTCCACTCAAATCATCAGTTCCAACAGGCAGGATTTTAAAATCTGAAGTCATCTTGTTAACCTCATCGTTGCCATCAACATCAGATGAAACCACTCTGTTCATAGTATCATTTTTGATATCTTGAGGTTCCTTAGTCTGCAGCTCTTCACTTCTCACAGATGTATTATCCACAGCATCCTTTTGAGAATCAATATCCCCACCATCGCAAGGCCAAGCATCCATTGAAAGATTTAAATCCCAGAGTAACCTATCATCTGGCAAGGGGATGGACCTTTCCGCTGTTGTGTTATCCCTATCTCCAAGAGATTCATGTAAAGGAGCAGGAGAATTATCCTGGAAAGATGAGCCCTCAGTTTTACCTTCATTTACCGAATCTTTTGGGGAGCAACAAGCTGTCTCCAATGATGCTGAAGACTCAATTCTCTCTTGTGTTGATGCTTCTAGTAATGTATTTCCCTCATTTTCAGTAACATCATCTCCCATACTATCACTGCAAGCAGCAGCTGCAAGTATTTCAATCCCTGAGAAATCCTCGACATCATTTATTACCTTTGAAAACGTCCCATCATCAACAGCAACAGTTGACTTGGTCAAAATATCAGTTTTCTTGAGCCGTCGCCTCTGAGCTGAATTTGAACCAGAATTTTTACCTGATGCAGATTGAAAATCTACATCCTGTCCAGAGGCTTCAAGGTGCAGCGAAGGGGTCAGTGGTGGCGGAGGTGATGGAGACCGGAACATAAATCTTCTTTTCTTAATTGGCACCTGCTCTACTTTGTCACCAAAGCGCCGTCCTAAAACATCCACACCAAGCTGCTAATAGAAAAGCAGAGAATTAGTTAAAACAAACAAGAGCAAATAAGGGTAGTTTTATAAGCGCAAAAGAACGCAATTTAACCTTCTCAGACTCAGAAACTGTAACATCCTCCGCTGTTCTGGCATTTTTATCAGCTAGCCCCATTCCCATCGTCAAGTTTTTAGCACCCAGTTTCCTTGTACGCCTGGTGCCACTCCTATTCCCCTTTGACACTGTCTTCCAAGTCAAGTCAGGGTTTATAAAACTTGTAAGTTCCAGACCTACTGTGCTCATCATGCCTGCAGACACAGACCCTATCCCATCAACTAATGGTCTACCACGACAAGTCTTGCAGGATGCCGTGGCTTCTTGCTTCCTACTTGACACCAGAGGAGAAGAGAAACTCCTGGGGCAAGTACAAATACCGCTCTGCAAAAAATTAAAACAAAGCTCCAATCAAATCTGCATCCATGCTACAAATGACATTAAATACACATGCTGACAAATGGAATATGTATAAAATAAATATGTGAAGTGATGCGGACTATTATTATGAAGTTCTGTAGTTTTTTAGTCCTTCGCTCTCAAAATTTTGCCTTTTTGTGTAATAACATAACAAGGCCTAGACACTTACAGTAAAATGGGTTCCTCCAATATTGTCGGATATTTAACAGATCAGATTGCTATATAGAGATCACTTTAAAACTCAAGCCCTCAACGCGTACTGCCTGTAAAATAACAACATCCAAGAACAAGATCAGCCTTATATACACAAAAATAAAGGGGAACAAATAAACAAGCTTAAAACATCCAATCCACCAAATAAAAGAGATTCATCAGTTTATTGAGCCCCAAAGCTGCTAACAAGGCTACCAGCATATGCCTCCAAAGGTCATTTACCTTGAGGCAGATAATCCTGACCAGTTTTGAAGTCCAGGAAAACTTCCCTCAATTGAGAATATAACTTTGGATAAAGTTTGTTCCTAATGCTTCGAATCAGGATTCTTTTGCGAACAACAAGACATATACAGTAAAGGTATCAACATCAAAAGAGGTAGAGCTACAGATTTAACAAACTGTGTACTTTGCTAAGCATTATTTCCACATAATTACTTCCAGTAATAACAGATATACAGTTGTTTCAATCTATGCCTAAAAAGACATGGCAACCAAGCTGCTTCATGTCAAAACCATCTGCCTCGCAGTCTGACCATGGGCCAAAACATCAGCAAAGATCTCCTAGTCCCCCTTCACAGGACAAACAAAACTCTCCCCTTCAATAGTTCTAAACCTCTTTTCTGCAGCTATGGAGTTTTGATTTTCACAAACAAGCACACGAGGCTCCTTAAATCAGAAAATATAACCCAAAACCCATAGATCCAAATCATATAAACATGAAATACCAAATTCATGAGAAGATAAACACGTCAGAACGCATAGGCAAGCAATCATCATCATAGCAACTGATAATAAAAACAAACACCCTAAAAGTTTCTATCTAATCAATCTATCGCCGCAGCAAGACAGCTCCCAGAAATTGTCTCTAGTTCTTGATTTGCCAAACAGCTAGGTTGATTAGACAAATAGCCTAGCTCTTGAAGCCTATTATTGGGACCAGAGCAATGGTTACGCCTATTTTTATGCAATAAAAACTCCTTTTCAAAAAGCTCCTGCAGCTAACGATGCCGAGAGCCTCATGGACAAATATCTCCGGCAGTGAAGAAGAAAAGTTTAATCAATTCAATGCCGCCTATGCCTAAGGTTGATCTAGAAGAATCCGAACAAGAAATAGCCTTCTCTTCAACAAGTTTCTTCAATGAATTCTTCCAAAAAACCCTAAATCTGCTCATCCTCTGATTAAGATTCTTTAAGATCTGACCAAAGCCGAATCCGATGGGGGACTCCACTGCTTTAATTTTTTTTGAAGATGGGAAAAACAACCACAAACAAAGCGTAGAAATTCAAAATCTAGGGTTTTCAATACCTTTTTTTCTTTCAAAAAATCAAATCAAAAATAACAATCGCCTCCGCCAAATTTGATGATTGTCGAAAACCTTTGCTAGATATAAATCACAAACCGATCGCATCAAAAACAAATCCCCTCAAAACTCCATCGTCGGTTCCGATTCTTCTCTCCTTTTTGTTGTTGTTGTTAGAGTGTTAAAGAAGATCAGGAAGAACGCGGCTTTACCAAATAAATAATGACCGTCCGATTGTCGGACCGCACAACGGCGATCTGGACCTTCTCTCTTCCGATTATTTCAATCTTCTTCTTCTGGTTGGGGTGGCGCCTAGCTTCTTCCCTGTTTGGATCAACACTGGGGATGCCCTATCACCACGTATTTAAGATGAACTCTGTGCCGGTTATGTCCTTGTCTTTTGGCCCGTTCTGTCGAGAATACCCTTGGAGGTGTCTCACAATTTGAGTCCTTGCCAACAAAGGAATTCCTAATATAAAATAATAAAAATAAACAAATAAATAAAAGCAAAAGATAAATTAAAATTCTGGAAGTCTCGATCTGGGTGCAAACACAGCAAAGAGCCCAGTAACAAAGTCAATAGTCAAATAGCGACCAATCAAGAGCGCGATTTATTGAGATGAAACATTAATCCTTGGGCACGGCATTTACACCCAAATTTTTGTTTTCCCCTTAGAATTCTTTTTTTTCTCTCCCTTTCTTATTTTTATACCCATCAACTCCTTCTATATTTACAGGCAACTCCTATCATTTATTCTTTAATTTCCTTTTTAAACCAAAACAACTTATTAAAATTGTGAACGACCAACACAATTTCCTTTTTTGTACAATGAGATCTCTTTGTAAAAGTGAACTACTTTATTTATCAAAATATCGACAACTAGAAATTTGGTCTATACGATGAATTCTTCACATAAAGGATGTAAATGTGAAGCCAATTCTAATTTGCATCAACTATTCCTTTTTTTAGGATGACAAAATGTATCAGATAGGACAAGGGTGCTTCTAATATAAAAATCTCAATTGCAGATGAACTTCTTTGGTGAATTTATACCCAACATGATGCAAACACAAGTCAATAAAGGGGATTGAAGAATTACTATATATTTATATTAATTATATCACACTACTATGGATTAATTTCAGTAAATTAAAATAAATATAAGATTAAGGGTTTGTTTTGCAATTGAGACAAGAATAAAATGTAATTAAGGAAAGAAGCTTATGGGCTTTGCAATGCGACATCCGAAATTTATGGTAAATTAATAATTTCGATACCTTCCTTTTTATTAGGGTCGAAAATTTGGGCTGCCCACCTTTCCCTCCGCGAAACCGCGTGACTTTTATTCCACGGAAAGAACCCCACCCTCTCTCAAGTAAGGAACCCGATATGCCACCAAAGTCAAAAGATTCCCCCTGCCTCTTGTCAATTACAAGTTACATTAGTCCAATTGCATCTTAGCCCTCCACGTCAGGAGCGGGCCCTACGCAATTGTGCATTCTACGGCCCTGATGCAACCGTGAGTGCGTTTGTGATTAGAGAAGAACCCACCACCTTCTGCTTTCAAACACCCAAGGCCCCGGCAAAAAGTAAAGCCGTTATACGTGTTCAGAGGTCCTTGATAGCAACACTTGTTGAAATTGCTCCTCCCCATATTACTCTTTATTTTATTTATTTGGAGATGCGATCCCCCAATTTCACAATTTCCATTTCTGTCCCACTTTTTTTGTAACCATTGCTTTTACATCATTCATTTTCATGAATCAAGAGTTTCAGCATGTGAGCTTGTAAACTAGAAGTAGATAGAAACAGGGCGTGCTCATCCAACATGTAGAATTCGAACAAGAAGACATTAATTAGGCCACCACCTTAGGAAGGACAGAAAAGATGCTTTCTACTTAATTTGGCATACCATTTATATAGTGAACTAAAATAGATGAGAACAAAGAAAAGAAAGATGCATGCAAACAACCCCTTTTTGGTAATGATCAAAAATCAAATAATCTAACCACCCATGTCTCAAACCCAAACCTTGGCAGCCAAAATCCAGAAACCATATTATATATAGTATGTGTGTGTGGTGTATGTGTGTGTGTGTGTGTGTTATAAAGAACCCAAGTAACCAAAACAAAAGCAGAAAGTGATGGGCTTGGCATGTGTTGGCATGTGCCTGCATGTGCAGGTGTGTGTAGGTGGCTGAGGAAAGACAATCCATCTGCCTACTATAAACAAGGTATGCCGAGATTAGCCATTTTCATGAAGAACCTCCATTAAGAAAAACATGGCACCAGATAAACATACAAATCATTCTCTCGTATATAAAAGAATATTGCTATATCAGACCATAGCTATAAATTGTCATCCTAGTTCCCCTCAAAAGTGGGGCAAGAACATAACAACGCCACAAAGCTTTAACAATGCATAAACAATTATGTATGCTGTCTCAGTAACCGTAATCAAAGCTACATGCTTATAGAGGAGAGGATGAGGGCACAGAAGCCTGGACAAAATTTATGACATCAAACAGCAAAATGAGATGGTCCATATGCTTGAAAATCAAGCGTACCAAAGACTTAATAAGATTTTGCAAAAATAGCAACTTCCTTTGCATAGTTGCCTGTCATCAAGCATGTTTTGATCCCCTGGGGCTGTTCAAAGGGGAAACAGCGAATTGTTGCCCCTGTTTCTTCTTTAACTCTTAATTCATCTGCATCACTGCACCAATGATAGAAACATATTGTTAGGCTTACAAATGTGCATGTCTCAGTAATATGCTGCCGGATGAATAAGTGAAATAGTTCTGATATAGCTATTGTCATTATCTTAGAGAAGTACTATACCTAGCTGACCAAGGACCCCTAGCCCATTTGCCCAAGGATATTACTTCCTTGAGTTCTTCATAAGAGCTCACATCCACAATGTTACTGCAAAAAGAGTATGGAAGAATTACAAAGAAGGGCAATGAACCCAGGAGAGTCCCAAGAAACACAAAAAACCTATTCAATTGACTGCACTCCGTGAAGCTTTCCAGATAATTACAGCTTTACAAGAGAGACAGATATAATAATACATCCATGTTGTTACCATGAAACCATACAATTTATTACTGGCTAGTTGAAAATCTAATCAGCCAAAATGATTCAAAAATAGTAATTGGAGCCACCGTCAGGAAGTTAGAAATCCCCTTACTCAGTGAATTTTTTTTATCCTTTTTGGCCTTGTCCACAATAGGAATTTGCAGATACAGACAGTGGGAATACTTCAGAGAACATTTTGCTAGTTTAATGAATTAGGTAGATATAAGATTTATTTTCAAAAAAGTAGATATAAGATTACTTTTCAAAAAAAAAAAAGAGTAGATATAAGATTGATAGAAAGTTATTACCTTGAATTCTACTAATTTACTTCTTAAGGGATCAAGATCGTTATGATTAAATCCAAACGTATTAATCCCTAGTCTAATGAAAGATTATTAAACCAGCTCTTACATAGGTTGCTATCCCAAATCCTTCGGGGGTTATCATTAAGTTGAAGAAGCTATTTATTTTAGCTCTGCAAACTAGAGGGTAGTCATACAGTTTATAATCTGCTGTTTACAAATGAAAGACCAGGTTCACCAATTTCAATAGTGTAGCACTTATGCTTTAGAGTGACATTGTTATCGTATCCCTATGCTATTCTTTAGCTTGTTATCGTATCCCTATGCTATTCTTTAGCTTGAATATTAAGTTTGATTTCAATCTAAAGAAGAGGTACTAGGTGACCAAGATGAGCAACAGAGCTCAAAAAAAATTTATGATTGGTCAATCTCTCTTTGCCTTGAAAAGAAAAAGAATAATTGCGTGAGCAAGAGGGCACACCTGTCCCGAAAAGATATTGCCCTCTGAAGAAGAGATGATTGGATCTCATCCAACCTGTCTTTCACATAAGCTTCTAATATTGAAGGTTCCATAGATATTCCAAAAACTTTCCCTTGCTTCCCAGGAACATCTCTTCTAGATATGACCACACTCCCACTTGAAACATCACGAGGACCAATTTCAATCCTCAGAGGTACTCCCTACAAAATCATTATCTAAAGCTTGAAGCAGCTGAAAGTTAAATATATTTTTGCAAAGCAATATTCTCTAAAAGATTCAAAATAAAGAGAGAAAGAGAGAGAAAACTTCTTTTCTAGGAAAAATAAGATCAGCAATGTTGCATGATGAAATTATATAAGCACCCAAACAACACAAGGGGCAGATCAGGGTTGGGTTTCAGACTGCTTGCATATATGGAGATATTCTGTGATTTGGCCAGGTTTTATAAATTTTCTAGGGGTTTCTCTTATCACAGCTGTTCAGTTTCAGCAGAACCTAGAGTTAAGGAATAAGCTTTCATTCTTCAACAAAACTGATAAAGAGTTATCAAATTTAAACATCAACAACTTACCTTCATTTCCCAGAAATTGAACTTCCACCCCGGCGTCCTCTGATCTGCATCATCAAGTTTAACTTTAAGTCCAGCAGTTTTGAGAATTTCTGCAACAGATGAAGCGGCATTTAGGACTCCGGTTTTCTCATCAGCCTTCTTCCAAATTGGTACAATCACTACCTGATAATGTATGATGGACAACAAAAAAAGACAATCACCATAAAAAAAATTGTACAGCAAACTTAAGCTTTATTATATGTGCATGATCATTTGAAAGATAAACAACTGAATCAAGAAAACAAGTAATATTCTAAGGATTATATGTGTCATAAAGCAGTCAATGGTTGGAGTTATCACATGCACTGTAATAATTAACAAATGTAAATGCAGCCACAACTATAATTAGTTCATAAGTTAGTAGGACACAAAGAAAGATAAAGAGACCAAATCACTAGCGCCCTCTACACTTGTGAGCATCCCGATTATTTGTTTCCTAATTCATTTATTTACCTATTTCCTATTGATAAGTAGATAAGCAATCTATTAATTATTATCTATGCCTTAACTAAGAACAAGCATCATGATAAGCATTAGACTCAGTACTCAGTAATGCTCTATTCCAACACCATTCTAAGTTACACTGGTAAGCCCACATATTGAGATTGCTTTCTCTTCGCATAAAATGGTTGAGCAAAAATTACAAGTGCTGGGATATGGACTCCAATTATCTACATATTTTCATCTTTAATTATTACTGTTTAAAAATGATATGTAAGGGACATCTCAAATTCAACTCTCAGCAGGACTAAGGGTTTATTAGATGGGGAAGGCTACCCATTTTGTCACTCAAAGCCCAATGAAAGTCCATATGCAAGTATAAAATCACAAAATTTGTTGTTAAAATAGTTACAACAACAGCAACATTACTGTTCTATGAGCAAAATCAGGATATATGCTCCCTTTCTACCTTTGAGAAATGTAACAGTCCTCCCATAAAGCCACCCTAATTCTCAGATATTTATTTAATTTCATAAAACCAGTATGCATCAATGCATCCCAAGAAGGTAAATTAACCACTTCTAACTTCCAGAAAGTAGTTTGCAAAAGGAGTTCCCAGTATAAATCATTCAACTTCAGAAGTTCCACCTGACAGACTGGACCATAATTTCTTCAAAACCAATAGCAAGCTTTTACTCCAAACACAGAAAATGCCAAGTTACCAATCACTAAGATCAAAAATAACAGTCTCAGCCTCCAAATATTTTTGTTACAAGCACATTTACTATTGCCTTTAATCAAAAACACCAATCAACTAATGCCAACAACAGCATAGGCCATCTATTACACTTCATCAGCAAAAGCCATTCTTACATACCTGTATTGGTGCAATCCTCGGAGGAAGCATCAGTCCACTATCATCTCCGTGGGTCATGATAATACCACCAACAAACCTTGTGCTGATAGCCCAAGATGTTTGCCACACATGTTGCCTTTGTCCATTTTCATCAGTGAACTGTAAAGGCAGAACTTTCAGTCAAACGCCATTATCATTCTGCAGTTTACGAATACAAAAGCAAAAAGTAACATGCAACAAAGAGAATCCACCACTCATATTGGAGTTTGAAAGGCCTATCACATTCAAATATTGAAGAAAAATATTATACAACAGAAAGCTGCAAACCCATTATGGCAGGACAAACATTAATGGATGACGATGAACAGAAATAGTATGCAGAACCCTGTCCAGCCAATAGCTTTTATGAAGTGTAATAATTTAAAAAAAAAAAAACACACTCACCTCCCTGATTTTGGATTTACTTTCAGAAAATGCTAGGACCAAGAACAGAGAGAATAAGACACTCAAGATACTAGAGCCATGAAAACAAAATGGGAAACTAAAGCTACCTATGTCCAAGGTTAGCAGACAACCAACAAAAGATGCCTATATAATCATTGAAAATGTCTCTCAAAAAAAAAAAACCATTAAACTTCAATCCAGTAAACCAATATATGTATGTATGTATGTATGTATGTACGCATATGCTTGATCAAAGGGTCTCTAAGCGAATAAACCCATGACAATACCCACATTCTACAATGGCTCAAGCTTTAGAGAGTTAATGACAAAACATAGCAGGCTCATATTTCAGTTATGTGAAAGTAAAGTATAGCAATGCATTGATTGCCTGCAATTTCCTCAACATTATACTTCATTGGTTTACAAATTATTTGCTCCCTGCATGCGCATCCATGTTAGGAATGGAAAAGAGATCCAAAAAGAGCCCCTACTGTATCCATCACCTGTGTCCCAAAAGCACGGGAGAAGTTTTGCCCAAGATTGTGGCTGGTTCCTGCTTGCAAGGCCTTACGATCACCCATCATAGCCTCTATTGTGTAGGTTTTATCGGCACCAGCAAATGTTTCCACTTTAGATTTTCGACCTGCAATTACAGGTATTGCAGCTTGCTCATAAGCAAACTCTGTATAGACATCCATCATCTGAAGTGCCTGCAGTTCAGTAGCACCCAATCCTTTAAATAAAAACATTACCATCCAAAATCATCATGATTAAGCCATAGGTAAAGAGACACAAACCTCTTTTTCCGCCTCTTCTGGTGTGGCATGGGCAGTGTGACCTTCCTGCCAAAGAAATTCAAGAGTCCTCACAAATGGTTTTGTGCGCATCTCCCATCTTGTGACATTTGCCCACTGAACCAAATATATCACAATAAAACATGTGAAAAACAGTGGGTGGCAGCCCTGCATAACTGTATAACCATGCAGTAAGTAACGAAGCTTATACCTGATTGATCATGAGAGGGAGATCACGATAACTATGAATCCACTGTGTAAACATATGATTTACTATGGTTTCACTGGTAGGTCGAACCTGTCACAACCTCAGGAAGCACAACAATCAAAGACAAAACTCAGGTCATGTCATCATAGTTTCTCTTGTAGCAATTTCATTAAAACAATCATTAGTTTGTATGCAATTGATAAGACTTGATAATCTTATAAACAAATAGAGTTAAGCTAAGTAATACTATATGTGTACCACAAGTTTCTCTTCGAGCTCCTTTCCTCCTCCAATTGTAACAAGAGCTAATTCTGGACTAAATCCCTCAACATGGCTAGCTTCCTTCTCTATAAATGAGTATGGAATAAACTGCAGTCATGAAGTAGGTTCCAAAAACTATTAACATGAAGTCAGCAAAGCAAATAACCAAAAGGAGAGGTGAATTAAAAACACACAGACACACCTGTGGAAAGTACATGTTACTGTGCCCAGTCTCCTTGAATTTAACATTCAAATAATCCTGCAAGTTTTTCAAAATAACCCAAATATTCAAAAAGAAAGCGAGCAATGGAAGTAATAATTATTAGTGGCAATTAGAAGAAAATGAAGCGACCTGAATTGCCTCCCAAATAGCGTAACCGTAGGGGCGAATAACCATGGTACCACGAACCGGACCGTAATCAGCCAGCTCGGCATTGGCAATAACATCAAGGTACCAAGCATTGAAGTCCTGAGAGCGCGGCGTGATAACTCGGTCAGTATTCGCTGGATCTTGGGCTCGACTGCTCTTCTTGTGGTCCACTCGGTCCTCGGTTTCTGGAGGACTCGACGCCGCGCTCTGGACGGAGAATCCGGCGGCCAGAGGCGGACGGATATGGAGGCGCCGCCGCAGAGACACCGTGGTGCGGCGGGTGAAGGAGGGGGAGAAGAGGGAGGTGAGCGTTGGTAGTCTTAGCGATGACACCATTTCTGGGAGTGGCTGCTTCGTTACAGTCTTTGAGCCTTCTTCGGGGAGATGAGGTTTCTGAAGTGGGAATGTACCGAGTGTGCTGACGCACATTGAGGATCATGGTCGTTCGAGCTTTGCTACTGTTTGAATAATGTTTTCTAAACAGATCATGCGCACTGGTTGGGCTTCCTAAAATGAACTGGTGGGCTAAAAGGCCCGAAGAGATATTAAATTCAAGGTTCCTGACATGGTTGATGGGCTGTTAGGCCCATTTTCGGGGGAAAAAAAGGCTGATAGATACATAGGCTCCCAACATGTAGAAATGCCCAAACAGACGTACAGGTTATGCTATTGTTCCCATGTATTGCAATTTCATTTTGATCATACTTTCCTTGATTGATCCACAATTTACTTCTTCAGAACTGATCATCTATGCGAAGTAAAGAAGTACTAGTAAGATTTACAAAGGGGTTGCCACTTTATAGAATCACTTGACTAAAGCAACAAGTACAAGAAGAACTAGAACAGGAGAGTTCCAGCTTCAATCTCAGATTCTACAAAAAGGTTGCCATCTGATTTTCCTTCCAAAAATTTGAACTAAAGAAATCAAAAGATTTCCGGATAGAAATACTTTGAGATTCTAGTATGCAAAACGTTTTCATTCAAATTAATCCCACTGCAACACATAATTGCATACAACAATTATGTACTACTACTACTACTAAAAGCGGCTGCTGCTTATATACTACTCATGTAGCAGTGATGCAGATTCAAGGGCAATCAATGCTTTGGAAGGTGGGGTGTTTCAATCAACCTAAAGCTGACGATGTCATGGTCAGCCCAATGCACAAAATGATTAGGCGGTTCTGGAGTTCTGGTAGCAGATGGAGAGACAAGTTTGCTGCACAAGTTGTGCTTCAGAGGAGATTGGTCTTCAATCAGCAGCCCAGGTATCTCCAGTGGTTCTAAGCTCTCCAGGGAACTCTTAGGCTGTAACAGATAGGAAACTTATGAATTTCAAACTAGAATGAGAAAACCAAGATGTGCACAAATTTTGCAGCGAGATGGAGGGAGCTGCTAAATATAACAAACCTTTGTCTTGTTTGACTTTGGAGGAGTCTTTGAAAGTGTTGATTGTCTGGGGAAATCTAAACAAAAGAACATGCATTCAAAATTAGGTGTCTTCGGCAAACTAAATCACAATGAACATTTTGGGCATCTGTATGATTAAGCCACAAAGGTTTAAATTTTCTTTACCCTTGTCCAGTCCAACCATCTGCAGAAACTCATCCATATGCATAGCTTGTTTTTGGGCTTTGATGCATTCCTGATGGTTGTGAAGAAAACATTCCTCTTCTATCATAATGCTTCGCTTTGCATTCAGATTTTTCTCTGCAGTCACACGCATGCAAGGCTTGACCGAGTTTGAAATATCAGAAAGAGCTTTCCTGGAAGCATTCTGCAGCACTCTCTCGGAGGCATTAGAAACGCTCTTTTTTCTGTTTGCAGCAACTGGGATCTTAGAAGTAGTAATGGTCTCTTGGTCAGCAATGGAGAAACCATTGCCATTCTGCTTTTTTGGTGCCTGCTTTTGAATAGGGTTCACCGAATTTGATAAATCACCAAGCGGTTTCCTTCCTGCAGTCCCTCCTTTTTTTGGTGCTTTCGAAACGTTTTTCTGCCCCCCAACAGAAACTCCTGGAGAAGAAAGAAACATTGGGTCAGACCACAATGACACAGAAAAACCCATTGAACATTCAACAGATAACATTAGGGAGAAATACCATTATAGTGAACATTCAAACTCTGATCTTGAATTAAACGACCAGCACGCAATGCCATTTCTCTAATTTTTTGGGCAGATTCCAAATTCCAAACTGCTATAGTACTGTACAAGTTAGAAACTGGTACATATGAAAAATCCAAACAAGGAGAAACAAAAACGATAAAAAGGGCTCATAAATGGCATTACATAGGAACCAAAAAAGTACCCAAATGATCAACAAGCTACAGTATATGATAAATGAAACTTACAGATAGTCTATGGTCTATTTAAGTACAATAGGAATGAATAACATTTTACTATCATTAATTGCCAAAATATTCTTATTTTCTAGTAGATCCATTCCACTTCAAGGGAATTTCAACCAAAAGAATACTCCATTGGATTATCAAGAAAATGAAAGGAGCCACAGACCAACGAAAGAAACAACATGCAAGACTTCAACAAATTTCTTGACGCAAAAAGAAATCCAATTTTTTCCTACGATAAATGATTATCATAACATTCATTCCAAAAGAACCTCGGATTATGCAAAATCTTTTACAAGAAAATAATTCCCAGAAAAAGACAGACTCATAGGGGTTTGAGAAAGAAGCTTACGTATGGCTCCCAGGACGAAATTCAACCGGTATTTTTTGCTTCTTCAACCAATTTTTCTTGAGATTTCCAGTGGATAGATCACTTTCTTTTCCTCGATCAACAATCGGCTTTGTTTCTGTTTGTGATTTCTCGCTAGGATTAGGAGATTTTATGGAGAAAAGAAAATGGATGAGGATTTCTTTTTAAAAGAAATAGCGGATTCCCAACGGTAACCTTGTCGTGCTTTTACGGTAATACCCTTTGTTTTCTTGAACATGGTAATGTGTGCAAGTTTGATTGGGCTTGGATTAAACCCGAATTTTCGCTCTTTATTGGGCTCACGTAACAGGCCTAGGCCCACATCTGAATTGTACTTGTAACATGGAAAGGTGTGTTAAAAGACTATTCTTCCAATGTGAAATTGTGAATCCCACTTGGAATGTTCTCCTTTTACATTTATTAGAACATTTTGAAACTTGAAGCATAGTTGCTTATAAGAGCAAAGAGATATTAAATATTTGGCTTTAAGCTTAAGGAACCACTGTCTTTTTGGCACTCACATTTTAAGTAAATATCAAAAGGGCACTGATTGTATTATTCTGATCTCAAAGTCTATAACATTGAACCAACGAGTCATTACCTCAAAGATCAAAAAATTAAAATCAAGAACCTTTAAGTTTCAAGTTAAAGTCCCATCGCATGTAAATTTAATATAATTTTATATTGCTTTGTTTGTGAAATAATTTCATTATAATTGTAATCTCATAAAAGCATATAAAACGGAGCTCCTCTCAAGAAAATTTGGTAGACCACTAAGTCAAATTCACCACCCAAAGTTTAACCTGTAATTAACTTAACACTAAAAGGGGGAAATCACTTAAAATAGACAGTAGAATGCCCAATTGTATGAAGTCTAATGAAATTTGAAATGATGATATTGTCAATAAAGGCACTAATCATATAACTTTATTTTCTGCCATAGCTTTTACTAATTAATTTGTTTTTTTTCCCCCTTTTTGCTTATCGGTTTTATATTCTTGGCAAGTTTTGGTTGGTGTACATTGACAGACTATATATCTCACGCAGGAAATTGACAATAGTGTTGCCCAGTGGGTAGCAAGTCAATGTTAAATACAAAGAATTGAGGCTGCTAGAAAATGTATGCTACAGGTTGCACCAATCATTGTATAAAAAAAAAAAAGCAAAAACCGTTTGCTGGTTAAATAAAATAACATAAAATAAAACCTTTTTCTTTTTTTTTTTTGACCTTTTCAAGGCCACTATTCTCCCAGCAGAAACGCTACCCGACAACCCAAAACACGAGTTCTTGATGTGAATGCGACACTGAAATCCGCTATTTGCCCATAATTTGCACTTAAAAAAGGGAAAAAACAAGAACAATAGATTAAAATTCTGGTTCACTTAGCAAACTCCAGTGGCTAGCTTATCTGAGATTATAAAATCTTCTGCAGTCGTACCTCCTTTGGAGTCTTTTTAATTATTTTATTCATCATAATTTCAACAATTGTCGAATAACATAAATAGCCTATTACAGCTATATTCACCTTTTTATTTAAAACCTATTTATATAATAACAGAAAGAGCATTTCAACTGCAGTTATTGAATATATAATATTTTAGTGGATTTTATATAATTTATGATTGTGACGAACTAATTCTAAGAAGTACGTTCCCCCAACTCTATATTCTGAAAATGTGAAGTGGCTCATATTTGAAAAGATAAAAAATTCTAGAACAAAAAAAAATAGAGAGAAAAAAAAGAAATAGAGAGACTTGACTTTGCAACAAAGGGAAGTCTCTCTTTGTCAATGAACTTTAGTTTTTGTGACCCAACTTTTAGGCGACATGGCTGTGATGAGTATGATCATCGATCCCATTCACCCTCCCCCGTCAAATCCAACACTCTTTGGTCATAATTCACGTCCTTTTGACTCCCAATTTTATACGTTTTATATTAAGTATAATAATTCTATTTTCTTTTTTGGTTTGATTACCTCATTTAATATAGGGGATTTATTTCCTGGCTTCCAAATGTTCAAATTGCTTGCACGGCTAGGGAGAATCATTTATGGCGTGTCCCTCCCCAAACAAACAATTACTTGCAAAACTCGGGGGTTTTAGGTTTCTCACATTAACTGTTTTTACCATATCCCATCGTTCCATGATGCTGGACATGCTTCTATCTTCTCCTCTTTATAACTATGCTTTCATATCCGTACCTCTACCCAAAGCTCCACCTTTATTAATCTATGGCCCAGGTACCAGAAAGCATACACGCTTGTTTTATGACTAGCAATTTTATTTTATTTTGTTTTCGAGTAGTGAAAGAAAAAAATACTGAGATTAAAATTGGTACTCGTTGTATGCATAATACTCTTCCAATTTCCATTGTTTCCTTATGACTTTCAACCACATCATGCAGAGTGGCTCCCCTTGATCCCATTAATCTTATCTTTTTTTTATATATATATGTGTATATAATTTTTGGGTAGGTAGGGGGAGTGGGAAGGGGAAAAATGCAGATCAGAACCCAAAATTACAATATAATCTAAAATTATTTTCTGGGCACAGTTGATAGGCCCCAAAAAGAAAAGGTGGTTATACCTAAGCATCCCCTAACTAGGCTGTCCAATCACGTATATTTTTTTTCAAAAAGAGGAGGGGAAAGTGGGAAGAAACAAATGAGGATTGCCAAGAAGAAACACTGGCATGGAATGTGGACTCTACTCCCTAGAGATGGATAAGGAGGAGGAGGAGGAGGTCCCCATCACATCCTTTTAACTTAATTTGAGTGTGTTTTGTGATTGCCCGATTGAAAGATGGACTAACCATAACCAGCTACGTATGAAGCAAACAATGAAGAAATCATAGCATAAAAAAAAAAATCTCAAGGCACAAAAAATATCATCACTCTTATTGAACCGGACCACCCCCCAACAAAATATTAATTTCATTAATGGCACATCTCTCATGAAATTGGACCTCAAAATGCAGGGAAACTCTTTTCCCTGAACCCATTTGTGTTTTTTTTTTTTAAAGAATAGGAAACAATTTTCTATAAGGAATTAAAAGTGGAGTGGACATAGTTATTTCAAATTTCACAGGCTTGCATCAGACTTGCATTTTGGCTGTCCCATAATCAGTAAAGAATTAATTCCATTTATTGAATACATGCCACTCTCTCTATGAAAATCCCCTCGTCATAAATTGGTGACAAGTGAAAAGTTGCCAAGGGCAAGCATAGCTTTAAACACAAAAATGAATAACAATCATTCTATATAAAATGATAATATACGCTAGAATTGTCTGCTTAGATATTTGTTTCAAAATGGAAAGTTATTACTCCTTTTTTGGTACAACTACGCCAGTAGCATCTACCCATAAATAATCTGTTTCCATTATTCTTTGTTTGATTTCTACCGTTAATATCTATATCAACAAATGGATTAAAATTTTGAAAATATGAATGCGGCTTCAACTATGTGATAATCTAAAGGCGAATTTATTCGTAAAAATCTATATTCTGACAAAAAAAATAGATATGGATTTTGGTAGGGATAAGCAAATTGAAGAGGAACAAAATGTTTGGTAACAAAATTAAAAGGTCTAAAATCAAATCCAAACATGTACACGTGAAAGCCCTGCCATTGCCATAATCCCCAACTACGTTACATTGCAAAGAATGTGGTTGTACGAGAATTCCAATCAGATTCCGACACGTAATCCTCAAACAATTAAAAATTTGCCTAAATTGAAATGTCGAAAAGATTAAATAAATAATCCACAAAGTGGAGGCCCCCACTGCTGGCAATGTGAGGGCAAACTACACACCATGCCATACCACAAGTCAGCATTATACCGAACACCCCTTTCACACAGGCCGAAAAAAAAAAATTAAAACCATTAACTAAATGCAGGCGCAGAATTTTCCTCGAATCCAAACACTCCTTTTTATTATTTGGGTTTGGTGGGATTTTTTCGCTTTTTTTTTTCTTTCCCCTTTTTTGCATATTTTTTTCTTCTAAGGAAAACGTTAAAAATATAGTAACAATTAATAATAATATTAGAGAGAGAAAAGGGCGGAGTGAAGTTAACGCCAAGCAGATGCGACGGTGAGAGTTCGGCCCATCCAACCAAAGCTAACCCCTCCGTTTTCTTCTTTAACGGTGAATCCCGGGTTGACCCGGTTACCAGAATTCAGTCTAGCACGTAGAGACTCTGCAACGCTTTGGCTCAGCGGCTTTAACTCGAACCCCGCCATGCTCATCCGGGCCCGCCACTTCCCAAAAACCTCGCATCTTTCAACGCGGTCCCTCCCCTCGCACGCAACTTTGTTGGCAATTTTGCGCAACAGCCCTTCCTCGAGCTTAACTCGTTCCGCTTTATCCCTCGACACGGTCGACTCAATCGAGTCAATTAGCGCTCCATAATACCCGCACGCTTCTCCCACCCGCGACGTGAACGGCGCCGTATTGGTGTTCATTTCCTGTTCCACTAATGTCACCACGCGCGGTGCTAATCCTTTCACGCGTCGTAGAAGCTCGTCTCTCGGGTTGTCCACGGATACGCTCTCGTCGGGCATTCGGTACAGCTTAAACGCAAAATTAACGGCTAATGGCTCGTCCGGTTCGCAACCAAGCGACTCGCGACTCAGATCGCTGAGTTTAAGACTCGCTACCACATTAAATTTCAAACAAACTCCAAACCGCTCCGCGATTTGACTCAGCTTATCGCCAACCATCTTCAACCTCTCATCCCCAGCATTATCAGCAATAGCTGTGATCTTTACCATCACAGGCTGCCCACTGCCACGGTCCGACAGCGCGTGGAGAAGATTTATGTACTGGCCTCCTTGCCCAATATCAAAATCAATAACATGTAACTTATTGGCGTTTGATTGGTCCAAAGTGGCATCGAGGATAGCCAGATTAGCAGCCAGGAACCCGAGCTTAAAACAAGGAGACAGATCATAAAGCAACTGAGTCGCAGCAGCGTGTTCCTTGCTGAACAACTCAGCCACCGGTGGCGGGTTTTCTGCTGAGTTAACCCGGGATTTAAGAGCCAACAGCATGCACTCCATCAACCTCTGCTCTGAATTCCCTTTAGAGTTAGCAACTTGAGCTAATCGCGTCAGGA